ATTAGATCTTGAGACCTTCCTGTTTTCTCTCTCTCTCTCTCTCTCTCTCTCTCTCTCTCTCTGTCTCTCTCTCTCTCTGTCTCTCTGTCTCTCTCTCTCTCTCTCTCTCTCTGTCTCACACACACACACACACACACACACACACACACACACACACACACACACACACACAACCTACAGTCTGGCATAGTCATGACTTTTTTGAGTGTATAGCGAATATGACAACACACAAGCCCGGGTRRCACATCTCCCAGCCTCCCARGGCCAGGGGAACAGCCGCTACTGCCAGCAACGACCAGAAGGGCATACCTAAGAGATGTACGGTACTGGTAGGGGCATATGGAAAATTCTTGTGCCTGTACTGAACGGCTATCCGGTAGGGGCAAACTGGAAATTTGGCGCGGGTACCGGTTGGGGCATATTGAAAATGTCTCAGGCCCTAACGACGCCAGGTTTTTTTTGGAAACTTGAATAACTGTCAGAGGGGCAAATCAGGGTAAGTCGGCCGTCAGAGGGGTAAATCACAAATAAACGCAAACTTCAGGGGCATTTCGAAAATTTTCCCTATTTTTTGTCATAAACGTAGTAAACTTTTTTTTTCTTTGATAAATCGATTTTTTTTTTTTTTTTTTTTTGAACAGAATTGAGAGTTAAAATAAAAATAAAAATGGACACCTCTTTGAAACCTCTCTGTAGCCCCTCTGAAGAATCAGGTGTTGGAACGATCCTGCCAGAAAGTGATCCTGCTGCCATGCAGATTTCTTCAGAGGAACTTATGGACACACGGGAATCTATCCGAAACCTCTTCGAAACCTGTCTGAAGCCTCTCTGAAGAGTCTCTGAAGTCTCTACGAAACCTCTCCGCTGTCGGAACGACCCTGCCACAAACGTGATCCTGCTGCCCTGCACATTTCTTCAGAGAAACTCAGGGCGAGATCCCAATGGCAAAGAAGATTGGAATAAGTGTCCGGATCTGGACGTGTTTGTGGAGAGGTGCAAAAGATTGTGATTGATCTGGTTTTCTGCGTCTCTGTGTGGAACACTTCCAGATTCAGACACTTGTTCCAATCCTCTTTGCCAGTGGGATCTGGGCCTTAGGCACCCAGGAAACTCTCTGAAAACCTCTGTGAGACCTATGTGAGACCTCTCTGAGACTTCTCTGAAGAATCAGCAGGGATTTAAATTATTTAATGCATGCATCAGTCCACCACAAGATCGAAATCGTCCAGTCGNTCTCTGAGACTTCTCTGAAGAATCAGCAGGGATTTAAATTATTTAATGCATGCATCAGTCCACCACAAGATCGAAATCGTCCAGTCGATCGGGTATTGGAAAAACAGATTTAGACAAGGTTTCACTCTGGCTACACACAAGCCAAGGCGCAGTGGGTTGAGATGATATCCTTCGCGGCTTGAAGGGAGCGCAGTGCGCTCGGCATTCCCACCATATACTACCATAAAGTTGTCGGCGATTGGTGGTCCCCCCCCTTCTCCCCTTCCCCCCCGTGGCCTTGATACGTGGAGGCCCTCTCCGCCACATGGGGGGGTTTCCATCAGGTCACGAAGGTTTGTTTTATTTATGTAACTTTATAAGTTTATGGTAAAACCGTAAAAGTTTTGATGTGACAATCGAATTTTTTAACGGATGGTTTGGAGGACATCTGTTAAAACGGGAACGTCGAGGATGACACATGCATAAAAAATAAAAATAAAAGTTATAAAACAAAATTTGAATTGACGTTCTACTGTTCGGTTGTGTTCGTCACAGGATCCACGGGATGTCCAATTCGAACCCGCTTATCCCGATCATCAAACATCTGCGGCAACCGCTCTATCAGACAAGTGAGGAGAACTCTGTTCTGTACGACCATGATCTTGAAAGGTAAATTGATACGGAGAAGCTATCGGAACCTTTATTTTATTTATGGTAAGCCCCCCCCCAAAAAAAAAAAAAAAAAATCTGAGTCCATTGGATGTCCGATGTCCATGGATGCACAATATCCATGGTTGTGCTATGTCCATGAAAGTTCACTGTGAGTGATTTCACGGAATCTATCACTGAGTTCGCGAGGTGGACTGAATCCACTGAGCTCACTGAGTGTTAGCGGTGTTCTTTTTTTTTTTTTTTTTTTTTTTTTCCCAGAGCTAGGATAAGTACACTGAGTGGCAGTGAGTGCACTATTCATTCATGCATGCTGGGCACCAAGTATGATGGTGATGATCGGACTGACCGGCAAATCAGCCCGTGGATGAGGATAGACATGCAGGATTCACCAAGATACGCAGGGTTATCACGCATGCAAAAACAACATCAAGCCAGTGATTGCAAAATTGTCTTTCTTTTCATAAGGGACACTGGGCCCTGTTTCCAGCATGTGCTGCTCCCCATAAATAGTTCGAAGCTATGCTTAAAAGTTAAAAAAAAATGTAAAAAAAACGGACTCGGAACTGTTGAAATACGGACTCGAGTTTGATTCCTGCTACTATTAGATGAACAGAATAAAATCACTCCCAATTACCCGGGGCCGGTCAGTTCAATGATGATAAGTCAAGGCCGTCGCAGTGGGATGAGGCTTTTGCTCTCATCAAGTGAATGGTGGAGATGGTCTTCATTGTGAAATCTTTTTCGGACTTTTTTTTCAAACCTAGGCTCCTTTGACTCTGGGGAGCGCACCAGTCCGGTTCCTTTTCCACCGGCAAGTCAGAAATGGATACAAGTCAAACTTCCGCTTCCCCACGTTTTGTCCCGCAGAACCCTGCCAGCAGCATTGATTTCTTCCCGACCGGAAGGATTGGCTGTCAGTCAAGCCCATGCAAGACTCCATCCCCTCCCCCTAACAGGTGTATCCTAAACCCAAAAAAATAAGCCGATGCAAGACTCCATCCCCTCCCCCTAACAAGTGTGTCCTAAATCCAAATAAGCGCATGCAAGACTCCATCCCCTCCCCCTAACAAGTGTATCCTAAACCCAAAAAAATAAGCCCATGCAAGACTCCCTCCCCTCCCCCTAACAAGTGTGTCGGAAACCCAAATAAGCCCATGTGTAATAACCCTGTTCAGCAGTCGACCTGGGGGCCAAACCTTAGCCCCAGGCCACGCAGTCTGTGGAAGACTGCGCCGGGCTGTGTAACCAACACATGCCCCAGCCTGAGTAAACTGCGTACGGCTGTGGGACCGAACGCCAAGACTTAGGAAAATCAAAGGTCAAAGTCAACTGTCAGTCAAAGTACCATGCCAGGT